TGGATCCGATCTGAGACGACAAGTGGAAGGAAGAAAATGGGATGTGAATAAAAAAAAAAAAATCCTTAATTTTCCTGATTTATAAGGCACGTATTTTCCGAATCAGGGGAAGAAAATTGAAACCCACTTATTCTTTTCGCTTCTGGTTAACTTTTTTGAGACTGCATGAAGATGGGTTCCTTGAGAAATTGTTTGAATTTGTTGCAAGAAGGTAAAAAATGGCGATGGGAGAGTATATGAAAGGTGTGGGGATGTCAGATTTGTGCCATGTGAGACATGTTGTGGAAATCTGTGAAGTGTATTATGAAGAAGAATGGGTTACAGCTGTGTTGATTGCAATGAGAATGAGCTTGTGAGATCCCATCTGCTGCCATTAATGGCGGATTTTCAAGGTAGAATATGAAGAAGAATTGTTTTATGTGTTTCTTTTTTCTCATTGTGTTCCAGATCTGGAACTAGGTTCTCCCTCTCTCCAATGAGAGCGACGGCCGGCGGTGGGCGACGACGAATCAAAGGTGACAACGATGGTCAGACGGCGGTTGGGATGGAGGTAATGGTTGGAAGAAAATGACAACCAAAGGGAAAGCGAACAAGAGGGGAGAAAGAGAGAGGAGAAGAAGGGCCACATCACACATTTAAAAATTAATCTTTGTTTTACGGCTCATTAATTAGAAAAATCTAATCACCTATTAATTGTCACGTCATTATTCYTAAAAGATTGCTCATGGACCATTTAGAACACTTTTTCAAACTATAGAAATCAAAAAAGTCTATTTTGAAATTTCAGGGACTAAATATGACAAAAATATTTATTTTATATTTTTCCCTTTTTGTAGGTTCTTTTTATAATTAGTGTATTTTTTTTATTCAGAATATATTTATTATGAGCAATTTTATTTGTAATATTTGTTTAAAATGTAGATCAATTACAAGCACATATTTTTTATGTTGAAAAAAAAAATCATATGAGTTAATACATAAAAGAAAAAGTGTTTAATTAATTAAATACTAATTTGTATGAAATCTTAAAAGGGATACAATTTTTTTTGTATTTAATTTTGAAAATAAAAATTTACTTTCCATTATTTAATTACATAAATACATCATTTTTTAGGGTTATCTTGAGGCAACAATTTCGTTGATTTTTAGTATTTCTTTTTCTTTTTTTTATACTGACAAATTAATTATCTTTCCACGATTCATTTGATTAGAAAGTTCGCATAGATATATTTTATTTTTTTATTTTTTTATTATTACATATTTTCTTTTTATCATTAGTGGTATTGTATTTTTATACATTAATTGATGTTATTATTAAATTAAAAATACTTGTATGCACGTGGTAGTACACTAGTACTATATATAAAAAGGCATAATAGTGAAAAGTTTTCTCTCTATTCTACATTTTAATTTTAATCATTTCCTCCATTATGACAAAGCGAGTATAGACATATACCTCCAACCAAGTTCTGAGTTCGAATCTGCTTCCTAAATATGTTGTACTAAAAAAATCATTTCCATAACTGTAATTTTGTCATTCCACAAATTCTACTGTTTTTCTCTCTCTCTCCCCAACTCTCTCCCCCAAATTCCTTCAAACCCCACCAATTCTCTCTCCCTCCGAATATTTTCTTTACAAATTAAGTTTATAAATTCCACTTTAAACAAAGTTGGTAGGTACCAACTCTTTGATTAACATTTTTCTGAAGAAAAATATACTTATTTTCATTTCAAACCAATATTTTTTTATTTATATATTTTAATTAAATATTGTGAATTTTTTTAAAAAAATTTCAAAATGTCAAAAAATATCTCAAAACAATTTGAGAAATATTAATAGTTCGTACAGGATATTTTCTTAATCTTTTTTACTTTCTTAAAACGTTTAATATCATAGTAAAATTTAAATTTAATATCGTTTTTATTACTAATTACCTACTTTTTCTTTTCAAATTTAAATTTACACCATTTTCAAAACTATTTCTAAATCAATCATTATTTCAACCTTCCAATCAAATTTATATAATTTTCAAACATATATCTAATTCACTCAAATCATCAAATTTTCAACATCGGCATCGCGACGACATTTCCACAAGTATATTACTTATATATTTATATATGATGTTAAAAGTGATCAATTATAATCCAATTAAGCTACAATTAAAGTTATATTTACTAATTCAAAAAATCTGCATCAATATCCACAATTTCTATGATTTTTCCCGAAATATCCGTCGACATTGACATGCTCATCAACATGTCCATTGGGACCTCGACATTTCCATCATCAACATTTTGAATCTTGGTCATTTCATTGGTTTTATTTCTAATTTATTTTAGACTTTTTTTTCCTCCACCTATCCAAATTCCTCGTTCAAATTATCATTTATTTAAATTTAAATTCCTCGCTCAAATTATTATTTATTTAAATTTATTTGGAAATTGTAAAGATGGATAAATAGTAATTGAAAAGAGATAAAAAAATTATGGAAAAGTAGAGGGGGTTAAAGATTGAGAGATAGTATTTAGAACGAGAGATGAGATTAGATTTGGTCACTAGTAAATCTAAAAGCTGGATAAATATGTTATTAGAAAAAAGAACTAACAAGTATACAATCAAAATGTAAATAGACTTAACTTTTTCCAAGTCATTATCATTTTTAAATAGTAAATTTTTTTAAGTACACTTTTAAAATATGATTTATTATTTATTATTTTTTGAGGAAACTTTTAAAATAGGAATGAGTGGCATTTATTAGTTAATATTCATTGCTGATAAAACTCAACTAAGCAAATCATAAATTTTTAACTAATATTTAGAAATAAATCCAAAATTTTTTTTACATTCTAATTTTTCAAATTATTGTTATTTATTTAATTAATTTTTTTAGTACAACACGTGGGGTGGATAATCGAACTCACAACCTCTTGGTTGGAGATATATGTCAATTATCGCTGAGCTATACTCCCTTTGACTTCAAATTATTGTTATTAGTGAATGTTTTCATATTCTAATCATACATGTATGTATGAGAAAGTAGGGATCAAAAATGTCTATTTTTCAAACTATATGGATCAAAAATGTCTATTTTGAAATTTCATGGACCAAATAGATACCTATCAAACTAACACCTACTCCAAACCTCCAAAAGTGTATTTTTCCCTTTTTTTTATGTTCTTTTTATAATTAGTGTATTTTTTTATTTAGAATATGTTTATTATGAGCAATTTTATTTGTAATATTTGTTTAAAATGTAGATCAATTACAAGCCCATATTTTTTATGTTAAAAAAAATCATATGAGTTAATACATCAAAAAGTGTTTAATTAATTAAATACTAATATGTCGTGTATCCCGTGTAACTTGATGAATATGCATCTTTTGCAATTTGAATATGCCACCAACATATCAAGATGGGGAAAGTCTATTTTTATAGCAGTAGAGGGTAATAAGTTACAAAGACTTTTGAAACTCTAAATCTCAAAAATTAATTTTATGTCGTAGGAAAAATTTTTACCATGTCATTATTCCGTTAAGTCCACTAACGGTCAAAGAATGCTCATGGACCATTTAGAACACTTTTTCAAATTATAGGGATAAAAAATGTCTATTTTGAAATTTCAGGGACCAAATAGATACCTACTTCGGACCAAAAGTGTTTATTTTGAAACTTTAGAGATCAAACTAACACCTACTCCAAACCTCAGGACTAAAAGTGTATTTTTCCTTTTTTTTATATTCTTTTTATAATTAGTGTATTTTTTTATTTAGAATATATTTATATTTTATTTCCAAAAAACATTCTTTCGGTTCATTTTCTTTTTTATTTCTAGTACGTAGATAGAACATAAATGATTCTATTTTACAAAAAAAATCTTATCGTTTTATTTCTTTTTTAATGAAAAGATATAAAAAACTTGGGTATGATACTAAAGAGTCATAGGGATGACAATGGGGTGGGGTGAAACCACGGAAAACCCGTCCTCGACGAATATTTTTTATTTTTATTTTATGAGTGTTAGAAGTAAAAGAAAAAAAAAAGTAAATGGACTTTAAAAAAAAATAAAAGTATTTATTATAATTAATATATATTAATATTATTATAAATAAAAATAAAAAAAAACTAATAAAATATTAAACGGGCCGGGGAGACCTTTTCCATTCCCGTTGGGGACCCCAATTAGGACCCCTAGTTTGACCCCGTCCCTCGAAAATCGGAAATTCCATGATCCGATCGAATTGGATATCTCGGATCAGGCGGGTTTTTTTGCCATCCTAAAAAGAGATGAGGGAAGAAAAATTAAAAAAAAAGACTCAAGCTCAATAGATGGATATCAATATGCTCCTGTGTTCTTGAAAATAAAATATTCTCTCAAAACAAGACTTAATTTATTTGATAGAATAAAAAAATCTACTTTGTAAAAGAAAAAATAACTTACAATTTATGCGCAAAATAAGAGTTACGGTTGACCACTACGAGAAAATAAAATTATGAAACGTACCCAAATTTTTTTAAGTTTAAAATATTATCAAGAAGGTAAATAATGTTACATAATGTAAAGTAAAATGTAATAATATTCATTTTTATGATTTTTCTATATGTCAAACGTATGTAAATGATGCTACTCCAAACATTTAAATTAAATGAAATTTCAAAACTCTTATATTTCTTTCAATTCAGATATTCAAATTGGTCTTCTTCGTAAAAGTTCTTTTACTTTTTTATATAAATAATTTTTTTATGACCTATTTTTTGTGTTAGAAACACAAACGTACGAACAAATTATGTGAACATATCTAAATTGATTGATTTTGTTATCATGGGTTGGAATAGTACAATCCTGGATTGGGATAGTATAAAAATGCAATCTCAGTTCGGATTATGCAATTTCTAGCTTGGATTCATGCAACTCCAGGCCCGAGATTCATGGACTCTCGATTTTTTTTTTTATAACTAAATCTAGGCATTTGCAATCTTGTGTCGGTTTTCAATTTTCACGAACTAGAGCCAATCTGAATTGATCTTGTAAGAGATTCGCTACAAAATGAATCCGTCAAGTGTACTCACTCCAAATTTAAGTCCAATCAAATGATCTGCAGCTGCCAATATATCTCGTGGTAACAAAAATGTATTGTTCTTAGGTATTTCAAAATTCAATCTCCGATTCAGATTTCGTGATCAATCATTCCTAATTCACATCTTTATTGAAAGAATTTCTTTGAAATTCCTTACGATCAAATTCCTTACAATACTGGATCTCCGCCTCCAAGAAAGATTGAATTTTAATATTTCATCATTAATTTCAACCATTTTTATAGATTTTTTTCTCCATTAGATTTCTAATTGATTTCTCAAATTAAAGAGTAACAAATGAGATTTTTTTTCTTTTTTGTTACTTCTAATGAGAAGTTGATTTAATAGGGTGGGGTCCAATCCAAAAAATGGGGAAGATGAAATGAAATCCATCCAGAATCTCCACCCATCAAATTTTCWGGCCATCTCTGAGTTTCATCCACCACCCACCAAGATAAGAAGAACAAGAACACAACACCAACAGGGGATTTCAATTTCAATCTCAATTTGAGCACATTTCTCGAAAACCCCTTCAAATTTTTACCCTCAATTTCATTTCTCTCCAATGAGTTCCGCCCAAATCACTTCCCTGTCTTCTCTCCCTTTTCGCCTCCCATCTTCATCGTCATCTTCCCACAAACCCCCTTTTCTCCACAAACCCTTCCGCTCCCATTTTCATGGCCTCCAGCTTTCTCACCACATTTCCCCTTCTGCTTCTTCTTCTTCTTCTTCTTCTTCTTCATTCAAATTTACCATCTCTTCCAAGGTAAATCGCGTTCTGCTCTTACGATTTTGTGTGTAATTTCTTTTAGTTGGTTACTTATGGCTTTTTGTTGGGCAGGTGAAAAAGGGCCAAGCTCCTCCTGCCTTCACCTTGAAAGATCAGGATGGGAAGAATGTGAGCCTCTCTAAATTCAAAGGGAAGCCGGTGGTTGTGTATTTCTACCCTGCTGATGAGACTCCTGGTTGCACCAAACAGGTACTCTTCTTCTACTATGCTGTCAAGAAATGAGTGCTTGTGGAATTTGTTGCTGACACATTTACTGGTGCGTTTGAGGGTGCTTTGAAACTAGTGATTTCGGCAGAAATAAGTTCGGTCGGTCGGTAAATAATTTTGTGAGCGTTATTTTAAACTTTCAATGTTGTATCTAATAAGTTAAGTCCGCATGTTTGGAATTGTAAAAAATATTTAGTGGCCAATTATTCTAATGTTTAGTTCTACACGTTTAAAATACTTTCCTAATAAGTTTTTTTGTTGGGTCAAAAGTACTTTTAAAGTGCTTTCTCACAAGCCATTTTAATGGTATGGTTAAGAGTACTTTTAAAATAAATTATTTTAAGAAAAATGCTCTGGTCATAAGCAGTTTCGTAAAAAATCCATTTTGACATTTGGTTCTACTCTTAAAGTTCTTTTAATTGCTTCCTTGATGATCACTTAGCTCAAAAGCACTCTACAAGTACTTTTGACTTTTTCTAAAACTACTTATAAAATACTTTCAATGAGGAGTGCTCTAGGCGTGGCAAATGTACTTTTTTCAAACATTCCCGAGTGTTTTTTACTTTTTATATGAATACTTATGAATCATTTCCAAACATAACGATTTTGAGTAGAAAGTACATTTGATCATGACAAAAGCATAGTCGGCATTGATGGCAGAACAGAAGCCTGTTGTAGAACAAATAAGGAGGCATTATTCCTAATGGGAAATTGAGATTTCTGCAGGCCTGTGCTTTCAGAGATTCTTATGAGAAGTTTAAGAAAGCAGGAGCGGAAGTTGTGGGCATTAGTGGGGATGATTCATCATCACACAAGGTAACTAATAAACAAGCTTTTATCTCTATCTGAAACACCCTTAAATCAAAATTTATGTAGCAAACTGAATTCTGTCCAAGGGCAACATTATATATTCAACGTGAAACTATATAAACTACCTCTAAATTATAGCGTTGGTTTCAATCATGCTCTTATTGTTGCTCGGTTGGCAAAGACTTGAGATCTTTTGGTCATACTAGCTTGCTTTGATGTCTCCCAAGTCCGGGCCTTGGGATGGGCACAAGTGCCCTTTGGTGTATGGGAGCAAAACTCCTACTCCCAATTATAAAAAAAAAATTGGAGAAAGAAGAAAAAGAAACAAATTATCCCCTTGTTGTTTGAAAAGTTTCATCTCAATCCTCAAGTTTTTAAGTTGTCTAGAAAAACCATTTGTTACCTGAGGAACAAGTATAGGTAAATAGGTATTAATTTTCTTTACTTTTCCTACCTCTTACGATCAAGGGACGACAAAAAATGGCCTCCCTCCCACATTCAATGAACAAAAAGAAGGATTAGGAATTGAAAATTGTCAAGAAATAGTAACAACTCACCCTGCATACCATAAAGGAGAAGACAATTGTGCTATTGTAGACAAATGCCAGTGCGAGTGATCTCATTGATGATTGAAGAGTTTTGTTTAGAAAGCGCTTGTTAGATTAAATTTACTCTGATCCGCAGCTTAAACTTTTGAGTTCATTGGTGATTTAATCAGTTTTAAGATAGTATAAGAGCAGTAGTTCCTGTGTTCGAACTCTTGAATTATCATTTCCTCCCCATTTGGTGGGTTCATTGGTGAACTAATCATACCTAAGAGTTTCAAACGATAGGGACATAATTGAAACCAACCCTATCATTCCGGTTTGGGGCAGCCTTTACTTAAATTGAGCTTCATCTTTGCTTTCGAAATGTAGGCTTTTGCAAAGAAATACAGACTTCCATTCACGTTGCTCAGTGATGAGGGTAACAAAGTGAGGAAAGAATGGGGAGTTCCTGCAGATCTCTTTGGAGCATTACCAGGAAGAGAGACTTATGTTCTAGACAAGAATGGAGTTGTGCAGCTCATATACAATAACCAGTTCCAACCTGAAAAGCATATCGGCGAGACTCTCAAACTGCTTCAGAGCCTTTAAATTATGTGAATTTCGTTTGTAGAATTAGGAAAAGCTGCTGCTCATTGTTCCTGTATCATTGAGGCAATTATCTTGTTCTGAATCCCAAATGAGAGTGAAGAATGACATTGATGATTGTTTTCTTTTTTTGGTTGCTACTCAAAAAGGAGATTGTGATGTATATTTGAACTATAATGCATTTTGTTGGGTTGAATATGCATCTCGATCTTGAAAGAAAATAATTGAACTGTGGTGGAGTGGACAACTTTTCTCCAGAGTTACTATGGAATAACTTCTCATTGACACGTTTAAGGTCCGTTTGATAATACTTTCATGGCTTATTTCTTATTTTTTGTTTTTGTGTCTGTATTTCTTGTTTCTTGCTTTTAATGAATAAAAATAGCTTGAGTTTTTCTTTTGAGAAAGAATGTAGAAACATGTTTGGTAGCGATTTCTTGTTTTCCGTTCTCTAAAATTTTAAATTAAGAAAGTAAAATTTTTAAATGAAACTTTATTTGTTTTAAATCAAATATTCGAATTATTTATGTTAATTTATTTTTAATATTTATTATACATTTTATAAGTCAAAAGTGATAAAATAATGCATTTATTTATCTTTTAAAAATATTGAAAATGGGAACCAAAAATAATTCTCTACGTAACTTTGAAAACATTTTGAAAAATTACAAATAAAAAACATAAATAGTTATAAAACACTTATGTTTCTAAAAAAATTATAACCAACAACGTTATCATTGGAATGAATTGTCAAAACAATCCCCACCTTCACGCGTTGACTTCAAAGAAATCGTTTGAAATCTTTCTATTATTAATCAAGGTTCACAAACATCCCCCCATATTTCACTTTCAGGTTGGATTCCCATGTTTTTCTATTTATTTTTTATTTTCTATTTATTTAACTAATTTTTTTTATTTTATTCTTAAGTTATTGTATTTTCCATTTCATAAATTTAAAATATTTTGAAAATTTATTCTTCCATTTCATAAATTTAAAATATTTTGAAAATTTATTCTTTATTTAATTTATTATATTTGTTTTTAAATTTAAAATACTTTAAAAACTTAGTTCTTTATTTAAAGCTAATAATTTATATTTTTATATATATATAAATTATATTGTAAATTATATTTTTTTAATGAATAAAAATTCTTCGAACATATATTATATCATTTTATATTATATACATTCAATTTTATTTTAACTAAAAGAAATATCTTATTTGAATTAAGACATATCCAACATATTATCAAACATATTTATACTCAGATAAAAAATGTTACCAAATAGAGTTAAACAAAACACTTGTATATAGAGCTAGACATATTTTGCCAAACAAACATAAGTGGAACTAAACACATATTTTACCAAACAAACAGAAGTGAAACTAAACAGAGTCGTTGACAAGGATGGAAGCGGAAACAGTAATCAAACATATTTTTGTTTCTATTTATTTTTTTTAAGAACCAGAAAACGTAAATGTTTACTACACGTATTTGTTTTTATTTCTAAGAATTTAGAAACAAGAAACGCAAAAGAGGAAAAAATATTTATCTCTCTTAATCCTTTCATTATTTTCTTTTTCATTTAATCATTGACTTTTTTTTCCCTCCATCCATCCAAATTTCTTACTCAAATTATCATTTATTTAGAATTTGTAAGATTGAGAAAGGTATTTAAAAAGAGATAGAAATTAGAGAAATTTAGAGGGTGGAGATTTGGAGATAAAAGAAATTCGAAGAGATGGAGAGATGGAGAGATTATTTATAAAGAGAGAAAAAATTAGTCGAAATGAGAGATAGACTTTTATTTGAATGATAATGTAATAGTAATAAAATGATACATTTCATGACAGCGCACATGTTACTCACAAATTGTATTAAAAGTTTTCAATTGGGTTGAGGTATAAAAAACTATTAAATTTTGTTAACGATAAGTTGATGCATCATCATATTATTGTTTTATTAACATATTTAGACATGTGAGCATGTCACTCGAATGCTACTTGACACCTAAAACTTAACCCACTCGTAAGTTAACAAAATTCATATTTTGTTTCACGTGCGGTATGTCTAAGTTGCATGCTCATCCATCTAAATGTTAATTAAACAATAATTGAATGACACATTAAATTCATCTTAATGAATTTTAACACATTTCTTTATGAAATGGTGAGATTTTTCAATACATGGAAAGTAAATTTGATAAATATTAAAGATCAAATTGGAAAAAAAAACATAAAAGCTGTGGCCTATTTGATATATTTAACCAAAAGTATTCTCAAACATAGTACAAAGTATGAGAATAGCACAACACGTGAGGTGAGTATCGAACTCACAACCTCTTAGTTGGATATATTTTGCCAATTATTGTGGAACTATGTTCGCTTTGGCAAAAAAAAATGTATATTTATAGTTTAGCTATGGTCAACAATCCACGTGGGAATTTCATAGTTTTATTTTAAAGTTTAAAAATATACAAATTAATTAAATAGAAAATGAATTTAATATAATTTGACTATTTTATCTCTCAACGTCTACCTCACCAATTTTTTTATTCTCTATGTTTATCTAATAAAATCGACGTTTTGATAATTGTCATCACTTATTGATCCGGATGGTATGACTAAAAAAATTGAAATACATCAATTACTTGAAATTTGTGCATAAGTAAAATACAGCACATAAAAATAATAACTTGACACATATTAATATATTTTTCACCGTTTTTTATTTATAAAAATAACAATGCATAAAATAAAATAAAAACTTTGTCTATAAATATACTACTAGATATATTAATCTCAAAATCTACGGTAAGAAAACATAAATCAACAAATAAATGTACATATAAGTTTTATAACATTTTGCTAATTTGAATATGACTCAATATATACATTAAGTTTGAGTCCCACATGCCAATTTGAACATAACTAAGAGAGTTAAAGACATCTATATCCGACCAACCAGAATGTATTGAGTTCCCGCCCAGCCTGTACTAACAAATTTTGAGTACCCCTTATATTGATCATAAAATTAAAAAAGGACATTTTTTACTAATATTACTAGTATGAACTGTTATCCCCCCAAAAAAAAAAAAAACTGTTATCCCAAATTACCCTCCAATTTCCCAAATTGTGCATCCTACATCTCCCGAGGATATTTTTGCTGCTTCCATCGATTCGGGTTTATCCATCGAACCTCTTCGTTTACTCCCCCCGTTTCTGCAGAGAAGCCTTCTTCGCCATACTCGCTTCCACTGACATACTACAAATTTCAGCTTCTTCCGCTCGTCGACCGCATAAATCTTGCCTTCCTTTGTCATCATGATCGTAATTGTTCAGTAATTTCCAGGTGCGCACCCAGTTGAACGACATCGATCTGTTTTCGGCTCATATTGGAAGGTTTTTAGTAAAATTTTGCACTCTGGGTTTCGTAATTGTTCTCCTCAAATCGGTAATTTGAATTAGGGTTTTCACTTTTTTCAAAACTTTTATCGTTTTGGAGATTCTGGGCGATTAGGGCAGTTCGCCATTGGAATAGGGATGAAGGGGCAGTCTAATCGCCTTCAGAGTATGGACCCTCCAGACGATTGGGTCAATGGTTCGTGGACGGTGGATTGCATCTGTGGCGTCAATTTTGATGATGGGGAAGAAATGGTTAACTGCGATGAATGTGGCGTCTGGGTGCACACAAGGTGTTCGCGCTACGTGAAGGGGGATGATATTTTTGTTTGCGACAAGTGTAAGGGCAAGAACGAGAGGAACGATTGTGAGGAGACTGAGGTTGCCCAGTTGCTGGTTGAACTTCCTACCAAAACCATGAGTATGGAGAGTACATATGTGTGTAACGGGCCACCCCAGCGCCCGTTTAGGCTTTGGACCGACATACCGATCGAGGAAAGGGTTCATGTTCATGGCATTCCAGGTGGTGACCCTGCTTTGTTTACGGAGTTGTCATCGTTATTGACTCCGAAGTTGTGGAATTGCACTGGGTATGTTCCGAAGAAATTTAGCTTTCAGTACCGGGAGTTCCCCTGTTGGGATGAGGACCAGAGTAATACTGTAGATAATGAAAAAAACGAGAATCCTGCTGATAAAGGTGCTGGTGTTCTTTTCTCTTTGTCTAAGGACAATGTATTGGCTACCCCTGTGGCAGCTTTGATTGGTATGAGAAGCAAAGTTGGGGATGACAGAAATGAGTTTTTGAATGAAAAGCAGGGTGCAAGTGAAGATTTGAATAGGTGTGCTGAAAATGGCGTGAGGGAGAGAAGCTTTCTAAGACCTCTCATACTACATTCTGGTAAGTGTAAAAAAGAAGATTATTTGGTATCGAAAGATCAATCTGGGAAGATGAAGTCTACACCCTCTGATAAGGTGACCAACATTAAGAAGAGAATTGATCATGCCTCTAAAATAGGTATTTTATTTTCGCACTTTCTTAATTGATATCTTAAATTATTATCTGGCAAGTGTTTTCAGTTTTTCACGTCAAGCACAATTTTTTCTTTCTGTTGTTATTACTAGTGTTTACATCGATGAATGATGAAAAACAATCGACATTTTATCAAGACAGAGATTTGAAGTACTTCAAGGCTGATAGTGAAAATCCTAGGAACAAGAATTCAAGGGAAATGGTGGTTCGAGAATCTTCATCAGATGCCCACGATGTAGCAAATAAAAATCACGAGAATCCTAAACACAGTTCTGAGCTCTCTCCTGATATCTTTTCTTCTGCGATATCTAAAAACAATAGTGTCAATGCAGTTCAACCGAAGGAAGAAAATGGAGTTCAAGTTGCTCTAGCAGTTGAGAATTCCACCAAAATTGAGGGTGATGCACCATCCCTATTTGCTAAGAAAGATGTTGGAAATGTCATGAAACAGGTGTGTTAGTCTACCCTTTTGGTCGAGAATTGTATTTCTCAAATGTTCTATGGGCCTTTCCCTGACAAAAATTCCATAGTTATCTGCTTATTTCATGATTGTAACTCTCCTTTAAGGGGTATGGGGGAAATTTTACTGTCATATAGAGGAGGCCTTAGAGTTGTGCTATATAAAGTTTTTTTGTTTGTTTTTTTTTTTTGTTTCTCTTGGGTGTCTTTCTAATGCCATGGAGTTTGTAGTATCTTATACTTGCTTAGGTAGTTATAATGCCAAGGAGTTGTAGTTATTCTGTACTCTTGGTCTTCACTCAAATATGGAGAGCTTTTTGTAATATCCCTAGTCATTATCCTGGGGTCAGGGTTGGTTCTTTGTCCTCCTCCCTTGAAATTATCATGTCTTTACCAATTCATGATATATTATTCTGAAAAAGAAGGAAAAAATAACGTCTTACTTGAACAAGATCTATTCTATAGGTCGTACAACTATGTCCTTGAGTTCTAAAAAAAGGGAAAAATAAAGAAGATAATTACAATAGTTATTGAATTTTTCAAAAATTATGTTGGATTTCTTTTTTTTTTTAAAAAAAGGGGGAAACCAAGCTTTCATTAAATGAGAGGCAATACAGAAAAGAGAGTCTAAAATAAAAGGAGCCTATACTCAGGAAATCAACTAAAAAAAGTTACGAAAAAGGGCTGCGGTTGTTCACAATAAGAGAATGGATAATTACAAAATTCTTTGGTTATAGAAACCTAAAGAGGGACATGATCTTACTTGAATAATAGATATGTTCCATTGGTTGTACATCTGTGTCCTTGAGTTCTAACTTCTAAGAAACCTAAAGAGTGGCATTAACCTAGCAAAAGCTCGCACCTCCCCCAAGGTAACCTTTCCAAAGTCCAAAACTTCTCCTATGCTTCCAAAGCCAAATGTTCTGTTATGTTCAGTAAGATAGAAATAAAAAAGTAGCTTGCAGGCCCTCCTTGGCCAAAAGGGCGATTGTAGCAACACCTCCACCATTATAGACGGACATGATCTGTTGCAAGAATGCACCCTAAAAGTCTCCCAGA